TCCAGACGGGAAACGAGATTGCATCCGGTTTTACGAGCTGGGAGGCGCGCGATCAAGGATTCGCGAGAGTACCACTTACGAAGGTGTCACTTTAGGACACGAACGCGGGGGAGAAAATCCATCGATATCGATCGGATCGCGGCGCGCCGATCCGCGAATCCGATATTCGGCAGAGATCTCGTGGCACGTTCCAACACTAGTACCATCGGACGAGTGACAATTCCGACACCGTCTTGATATTATTCATCCTACAAGTTTCCCCCTAGCGTTTTCTCAATTTATGACCGACGCGACCGCATCTCTGCAGAGCGAGAGAGGGGGAGAGAGAGAGAGAGAGAGAGAGAGAGAGAGAGAGAGAGTGAGTGATCCTCCGGACGCGCGGGACTCCGGACTGGAAATCGCGAGATCGGAATGCGATTCGCGGGTGCAGTCGCTATTAATCGCAACGCTCGCCGACCGCCACGGAACTCTCGACAAGACTGGAGGTTCTCTTGGTAGGTGAGGCCGGCCTCTTTCTCTCTCTCTTTCTCACGTTGACCAGGAGCGTATCCAACGTATACGTACGAGGTAGGATCCCTTCCGTCGAGAACCAATGAGTGTTTACAGGATGTGGGCGCGACGTGAAAAACTATCATCGCTAGTCAAGTGCTTTCGCAAGTTAATGTCGCTACGCTCAACCGCTCAAGAGACGTATAATTCTTGAAAAATATTTTTCTCATGTGTCATACTTCTCATGTAATTTCATTATTGAAATTATATGTTTCGCAATGAGAATATATGATGCGCAATATAATAATCTCTCTCTTATCTAAAGTGGTTGTAATGATAATTATGTAAAATAAATCGTACTCGATCATCCTATATTAATTCTTTATGAGTTAAATTTATTCACTTTTCTAGTTTACTTTCGAGATCCAGTATTGCTTATCTTTCCTATAGGTACCTTCATTCCTCCTATTTCAATTTTCGCAGAAACTTTTAAAAATTACATCCGATTATATTTGATTCGTCGCATTTGAACTTTGTTATTATATACTTTAAAAGTCAGGTGTTCAAATCAATAAATTTATAGATATATATAACAAAAATGGGGCAATGTGCGCGTGTGTGTAAGAGTGTATATAATTAATTTGAAAGACATTGTGCCACGTTTAGTTTCGTACGAAATGATGAATAATTAATCGAAATTGCATCAGTAGGTTATTAGAGTATGGTATTGCATGCATTTGTGGATATATGAAAAATTTTGTCGATATATATATATATATAACATAATTTTATTTTTACGCTATTTTCGAGGTGCTTGTAACGCAGTACATTGTACGGCGCAGTTTATACGATGTGACATGCCAATTAAAATTGCATCGATGCTATATTATAGCGATCGTGTTACGTGTTGTTTTTATATTGACCGATTCAAATTGCGTCGATGTGACATTATAGCGCGAGTTATATCTTGTTCGTAGCGCATGAGACTTGGCATCCGAATCGTAAAAAATACGTTAACTAGAGCATATATATATAATATATATATATACCAGTGAACATTAATGATAAAAAAAGAAATTGCAACAATAATAAACAACGCAAAGTCAGAACCCCGGATGTTCTATTTGAGATAGTGTTCTATTGTAATTATCGCGCGAATGAAATAATTATGGAAAATAAAATTCAAGCACTATAAGAATTCACAAAATAAAATATTTTGCCTTTTATCGATTACTATTCCTTGATGGAATTGAGAAATTGGGTAACAATGGTATCGATCAGATGAGTAGTGCATACAGCACTGCACATATAGCCCTTCTCACTTTATCGATGCTCTTTATCCTTCTTTCTCTCTCTCGCTGTTTCTCTCGGTCTACTTCGCTCTCTAATTCCATCTCTGTCGCACCAGACTACTCGCTTTAAGTAGGATGTCCTCGTCTCTCCCTCTTTCATCCTCACTCTTCAACCTAACCGATCTCTTCTCTGCCATTTATACCGAAGTACCTCTCGGGCGAGTTCGTAAATTTTCGACACGAACGACAAAGAGGAGACGAAATGAGAGGTTATACAGCAGAGGAGAGAGAGAGACAAGACAATGGAAGACACAATGAGAATTAAGAACTGTTAAGTAACGTAAACATTATAAAGGAGAGACAAAAGTAGAAAAGATAAAAATATAGGTATGTATAATATAAAAACGTTGAGTAGTACAGCTAAAAAAATTACAGAAAACGACCAGAAAATGATCACAAAAGTAGTAAATAAAAAATTTGAAAGTGAATAGTAGAGTTTATTGTATATTCTAGGATGTATTTTTAGAGTATTGCAGGAAAGATAATAAATAAAAAGAACATAAATACAATGCAAAACGAATGAGCATATAGACAGGAAGAAAAAGACGCGAAATTGAAAGACAACGAAAAAAGTGAAATCATTTCATCATCGCAAACAGGCGAGAAATGGTGACACTGGTAACGGGAAAAAGACGGAGACTAAAAGAGCGATGGAGAAAGGGAGAGATACGGAGACGGTGGAAAAGAGCGGAGTTAAATTGAGAAAGAGAGACAGATGAGGAGAGGAAGCGAGGAACGTAAGGGGAAATTCCGAAGGGAACGAGAGGAAAAGGTTCTCCCACGTAACCACGCCCCACGTTCGCCGACAGATTTTTACGTGCAGACCGAGGACGGAGAAGGGGAACGTCGAGGGGTCGAGGCAACCCATGGGACGCCAATGCGGCTCTCGTTTGCACCGTGAAACGTATCTCCATCTCTCTCTTCCTTTCCTCTAGCCAAGGTGGAAATGCATACGCACACATACGCGAATATACAGAGAACATCGCCTAGAATTTCCTTCCCTCGGAAATACGTTGCGATCTTGCCGACACGCTAGAGCGACGCTCTATCATTGGGAGGACTCGGAGAGAACCAGGAGGGGACGGAAGGAAGAACGAGGAAACGGCGCATTAAAACGGTCGTAGAGAGATTAATTCGTCGGAATCGGGCACTGTGCGCTTCTCTTATGATAGTAGTCGCGCGCGCGGTCAGCCGCGTCTCTGTCGTCGTCGTCGCCGTCGCCGTCGTCTGCTCGTCTATGCACATCAGACGCATGCAACGCGAAAGAGCGTCCCGTTCCACCAAGCGGCAGCCGAGCGTGTGATGACCGCGGATAATAAGCGCTCCACATTCCCTTTTTTTTCCGTAAGCGGCATCGTGCGCCAGTAAAGAAGAGCACCCATCGTGCACGAGCGTGTACCTTCCGCTTAAACAGTCTCTTTAAGCGGAAGAAACAAAACAAAGTATCGATTTAGTTACATCGCAGTTCGCCGTACACTAAACACGGAAGTTCCAGCTTATCTCTTTAAACGACATTGTCTACATTAATCCCTTTTTAATCATTATTTATCACGTTCAAAATTTGAATTCTCTGTCTGACTCACTTTTACGAACTTGAACATTTTTTTAGAGATTAACATACACTATAATTTCAAGATTTGATTCGCTAGTGATAATAGATAAGATATTACTTTCCATTTGCACAGAATGAGCGTTTTTCATTTCATAAATATATAAAAACTGAATATGTATGTAATGTATGCAATGTATATAAAAACTGAATAATATTCATTGTTCGCGTAAAAGGAAGAAAAGTTATTCACGAATGTACACATGTATAAATGAAGAATTATTACCTTCTCGAATAATGAATGACATCAAAAACTCAACGAAAAGTATTTAAAAATTGTCTGCTTATCGTACATATCTCAGAATTGTACGATTAATGAAAATTTCAGCGGCTAAGAGGATACTAATTGTAAGAGAGAAAATTGTGAGCGTAACACTGACGAGAGAAGCCAATTTACAAGCGCTCCGTATCTGCATGTGACGTACGCTATGTCTCGAAATAACGTTGCATGAATTATACGACCATTAATCCATTAGCTGCTGAGTTGCATTATGATGAACATCTCTAAATTCGACGATATAAGCTTTATGCACACATTATAACTCTGCTTGTCAAGTTTATCGTGGGAAAACAGTGAAATAATGAGACGTTTCATTATGTACAAAGTGTTTCGAAAACAGGACTTCTAGTTTTCTTCTGCACCTATAATGTACGTGCATAGTAATTTCAATTTTTATTTCTTCGTTAAAGCATCATAACTAAATAAAATTTTTCCAAAATGAAAATATACATTATGATTTTATATCTTCTTCATTTTGAAATGTGAGATTATTTTTTGTAAGTTTCACAATTTTACAAAAAGCAATCTTTTCAAAATGGTTGAAGCAATTTTTCAAAAATAAAACAAGCATTAGACACTTTTTGATAGAGACAAATTAGATTTTCAAAGATTTTATTTAAAAATTTCAAAAAACAATATCAGTATTGATGTCTAGACCAGGTTGATGTCTAGACCTGGTATTCACACGAAGCTACGATGTACATACGTATTACGATTGATTTCTGGATTCCTCGCATGTAAAATCCATTCGATACGATATTAAAAATAAAAAAAAATAAAAAGATACGACGAGTTTATACGTTGGAAAACGCACAAAATGCCACGCATGAAGATCTGGTCGCAATAAAGCATATTACTATTTCGTGCACCATACAAATGTCCACAGCGTGCGTTTTCTTAGAAAACAAATCTGCCATAATAAACGTTCCTTTATGATTATGCGACCTATATTGGATTATGAATATCTTTATTTAACGGAAATGTCAGTTGAACGTCTAGAAATATACATGACCTTTCCTCCCTATTTTGGCTTTCGCGTGTAACTGTGAGACCAGAACAGTGATAAATAATTAAAAAGTCAATTAAACGAGCATACGTCAAGAGAAAGTTCATCGTGCTTTCTCACGTGCTTTTTAACGTCGCAAATATGACGGTAGAAATAAAATGGGTACAAGAGATGAAATCGTTCCACACAAAGGAAAAGATTGTTTTGCTTCATGAGACAAAAACAAAAATATTATTCCATGATATCAAATTTGTATAATCCTACCTTGAACGAGGAAGAAACATGGATCCATCGATGAATACAGAGCCGGAAAGAAGTATGTACCAACTTGTAGCCAATTCGCCGGTGCTGAAAATTATAATTATAATATTTTATTTACTGCCAGTGTACGTACAATACATTCTATATACATTTATTTGAAACAAATGAATCGAAGAATTATGTAAACGTTGTTTCGAGTTGTAAAGAGTGTTCACAGTATATAATCACTGAAGATAAAAATAAAATTGATTAATTAATTTTATTATCGTTGATTAAATTCCTCGTTTAATCATCTTTCTCAATCAAGAATTCTTCCTCGTAAGAATTTCTTTTATTTAGAAATACATATAATATATAACAGAATACACAGATACGAGTCTGTTGATATATACTTAATACTGCAATGGATGCATTTATATGAAAGCTTTCATACAAAATGTCCCAGACTTACCGATAACACTGCGTTAATCGCAGATTCCAAGAGGTTTGTTCGCGTCGCATGCTCCAACATGGTCCAATATGCTTCTATCATAGCTCTTACTCACTCCAACGCGCTTGGTAGAGTTAGGAGTTATGATAGGAGCATGTTGGAGCATGTTGGAGCTTGCGACGCGAACAAATCTTAAGATTACTTCAAAATAAAAACTCGCCGAAATATCAAAATACGCCGAAGTTGTGATAGCTTTTCAAGTAACAAGTATTAAAGTTTAAAGTTGATCGATCAAATGGTCCAAAATTTGCGCGCTTAGGCCGGCACACATATCGCATATACTAGATATAAGTGAAGGTATTATTCTATTCTTAAGATTGAAGAGAGAGAGAGAGAGAGAGAGAGAGAGAGAGAGAGAGAGAGTAATTTTACATGTTTGTACATACTTCTGTATGCACTCTGCATATCCTATTCCTTTTTTGTTTGAGAGAAAATAAAACCGAATAGCTCGTCTAAATCGATAAAACGATGGGGACACTTAATAAGATACCTGGTAAGATACTATTCTCACAAATCACTTTTGACGATTTGCGGCGCCACTCATCTCTTTCTCACGAAGAACGCAACCTGTAGCGACATCTATAGTTTCGACTTAACAAGTTTCTCTCACGATACACGAGAATATCGCAACTCTCTCGATAAAAGAATTCCGCAGCATTATCATACTGTCGATAAAGAAGATTTCTGTGAAATTTAAGTTGCATCTGAAGGTACAATGTATATGATGGAGTCATTACATTCTGCACATGGTACATACGTATCAGGATTGTACCGTTATAATTTAAGACGTTTACATAAAATATTTACATATTGTTTACGTTACGTTTACATGAATATTTTTCATGCAGACAATACAAATAATGTAAAATATGTAAATTATTATAAACTGGATAATACAATTCAGCAAGAAGTTATTAAGTTTTATGATTGTTAACATATGAGATTTTATTACTGATAAATAAAAATATATAAACGAAATATATAAGTAAAACATATAGTTTACATTGTATACATGTAGATATAGATTATCATATTTTACGTGTAAAGGAACAACCTGGTACATATGATTGCACAAGCATGGCTCCGTTCGTGAGTTATTTTATAAGAATATAATTTAGAATTGACATCTCAAGTATTTTCTTAAATTCTTCTTTCCACAAATTTCTTGTAAACATTTAAAATTATAATTAACTTCATAATTTTCGATTCAGAAAACTTGAATATTCGATCACACGTCCATAAATATTTAAATATACCAATGCCCATGTATTTGATGTATTTAAACCAGCGCTTTTAATATTAAAAAATAAAGCGGACTATTCAAATAAATATTGTAACTGGCTCGTAGCCCTATTCTTATTTATTGATTTATTCCGATTGAGCCATATTAATAATTTATTTTATTATCTAAATATTCAAATTTTATGATATTAAAATTTATACAATTTTTTTTAATAATGAAATTTTTAAATGCACACATATATTTTCATTTTCTATCACAAATACATGCATTTGATATTCTCACATAAATATACATATATATAACCCTTGTACAATTATATTCAAGAGTATTCAAAGTTGAACTCCTCTAATTAATTATTAATATATTCCGAAATTAAATACACACAAGAATAATTTCAATTCGAATTCACTTTCAAGATAAAAAGATATTGTCCTACATTCGAATGTACTAATCCTTTTAAACCAAAATATCTTCAGTTGCTCTAATTTTAAAATAAAACACAAATAGAGAGAGATGCTGGTAAATAAAGAAATCAATAACTGGCAACTCTCCCAGATTATCCTGGTAAAGTTCCACAATAACTTTTGCTTATACATAGAGTATCTCTTTCTTTCTCAAAAGTGTTCCAATATTTGAGAAATTCTTGTGATTCTTAAAATTACAGCACATTTCGTTGAAACGTATCTTTTTAGAACTACCTTTTTAAAGAGATATTTGTTGTTTCTTCGAAGTTGATCAATGATGTGAAAGTGATATTTAATATGTAACGAGTTTAAAAAATATCTTATTAATTACATATATACATATATTTTTTTTTGTTTGCTCGAAAATTGACGGAAAATGATTGATGCAAAACTGACATTTTACGCGCAATAATCTCGTGTTTCTGGGCTGTACTCAGGATGTAATACTTACTAATAGAGGACATGGTTTGCATGGTGTCTCTCGTAACGTACGATTTTGCAGAGCCCGCGAAGAACGGAGTCTCTGCATGGACGTAATGCCTCCAGACCCAGTAACCCATAATATATGATTTGCAAGTCCTGAAACAGAGCGGAGAACCAAGTAATACAAATGACGCTCGAATTCGAAGAGGTTCAGCTTAGTTAGCGAGACTGAAACCTATATGAAAGGATTGTTGCTCACATATTTCCTAATCGGTATTATCACGCGGATCTTCCGCGATGACGATCGCGGTAACTTTAACAGAAAATTGCAGGGAGCTAAAGTGATCGTCACGAATCCAATTTGCCTCGTTACCTCACTGTACGATCTATTTATTTATTGGTAATGTAGGGCACGCAAAGGAAATCGTCAGTCGGTGGATCAATAACGGCAGTAAATCGGTGTATAAAAGTGATCCACAAATTTCCGCGAATAAACAAACAAATGTATACCGTGCATTTACCATGTGCTATTTTCATCCGTTTCATGTTTTGCAGAAGCTCGTTCGCGCATATATCTTTCTCTAACTAATGTGTTTGTACATCTAGTATATAATTTTTAATTAACACTTTACCTGCTAAGCCGATTTCAGCATTGTATTTAATAAACCTAGTATATTATTATTTTAATATTTTATTGTTTTTTCATGTGTTATACACTTAATAAAACTATTCTTATTCGGATAAATAGAACCGTCACTCACAAATGAATGACGGAACTCTCGTGAATTTTATGCATCATCCAAATATGAGTGACGTGGCAAAGTGTTAAAAATATCACATAAATACACGTCCCTCCATTGTTTATTACACATCCAAATTAAGCAGATGATTTAACACAGTATTAGTTTGGATAAAATTTGTTATAGTTCAATAATATACAAATAATATATTTACGTATAAAAGAATAAAAGCCAAATAATAATCCAAAGCAGTTTCTCCAAATTTTTGTTACATGTTTTAACATTTTAAAATTAAAAATTACAAGTACTATACGACAAAAGTTAATAGTTTAAACTCGCGTTATGTATCTTGTATACATACATATATTGATTGAGTCGCAATAACGTTCGTGTTGACGCGTTACAACTTTGATCCGTATAGTGAATTATCGCAAATCTAATTACCCTCGAGTCACCTCCGTTAGATGCGCGAGTGGGGTCGCACAATTTCACGGTGGATCGCTGATCGAACTTGCCTATCCATCCATCCATCCATCCATCCCAGCGGGACGTACACCCGTTTTCAGCTCTCCTCTCGAGCCAACTCTCGTCGGCGCCGTTTCGTCTGGATTGTTTGTGGATGCCGACCGCAATCAGCGTTATACCATGCGAAAACGTACGAAGCATCTAACCAATCCAAACCACCGCTGCCGACTCAAAACGTGCGGGGATACCAATTTCGTTCGACTAATTCCGAAAATGTCCCTCACCGCAATAATTACATTTTCTCGTGCGATTACGAACGAATTATGCGGCCTATGTTCGAAACACGTATGATGTACATACATGTATAACGGCAGCAAAAGCGGTTTCCCACACTGAAAAAAAGATTGGCTGCTGCAGCAAATTAGATGGTAAAATATGGCATAGCATTTTTAATTGGTTGCAGCAGCCAATTTTTCATGGTTGCGTTAGCCTATCTGTAATGTCAGTATAGGATTTCGATAGACTAACGCAATCAAAAATTGACTGCTGCAACCAATTAAAAATGCTATGCCATATTTTACCATCTAATTTACTGCAGCAGCCAATCTTTTTTTTCAGTGCGGTACATCTCATTTTTCATTTTTGCATTTTTCATGCAACACACACGCTACAATTCTCGTACTAGCTTCAGAAGCGATCATCTCAAAATATTATACAATACTACACAAACTGTGAATATCCTTACTTATGCAAACAAACATTTTGGGAAAAATAAAAATATAACCGACGCAATTGCTGAATTGATACTGTAGAGACAAACAAAAATCATGTCAAACAAAATAAGTTATTAATTCAAATTATACAATAAATGCACATTTTACATCATAAACTTCTTAATTTTGACACGTAAATTCTAGTAATTCAGGTAATTACGTTTTAAGCTTCAACTTGAGGTCTACTATCTCAACTGTACAGAATCGTCGCGTATCGCAACGCGAGAGAACTTGGGAGGATTTATAAAACTGGAATTAAGTGTCGCCAGATGTGGCGCATCGTAGCGCGACAAACTCTCGAGGGAGACCAAACGAGATTATAAATATGCGAACGTATACGCCTAAGTACCTCGAAGACGCTGGGTCTGAAAACCCAGCAGTTTCGCACGCAAAAGGGAGCGGACTCTCGCTCGACTTTACCAGCGCGCGCCTTCTCGGACTTTTTTCTTCTTTTTTCGCACGAAAAGTGGAGCGAACACCGGACGACCTTCACGAATGGATCGTACGATGCGCGGTTCGTGTTCCGTGAGATTTTTAAAGGGAATCCACTCGCGGACGTAAATCATGGACAATTAAGTTTTTCGACTGTTACGGAGTTATGCATAATTTATGAGGTATCACACTATCATCATTATACAATCAGAAATCGCTACCTCTGAAATTTTCATGCTATGCAGTAGCATCTAGAGAAAAGGATAGCGCATAAATTAACGCGCACTACATCTTATCCGTATACGCTGCTTTTTCTTTACATGAGGTATTTCCGAGACTACAAATTATCATCAAGTTCTCTTTACGCGAGTATACAGAGATAACGCGTGTTATTTGAATAACAATTGTTTTATCATGTCGCTGACATAAAGCGGGGTTGGATATACATAGAGCTCATTATATTGAATTATTTTAATAAATACAAAAATTCTATAAACGTGCTGATATGTTATAAAAAAAAAAAAACGTTTTATTATAAAATACGATATTCTTTTTTTCAGCTTTTTTTTTCTTTCATGAGATTCTTTCCAAGATTCAGTTCAGCGGTTAATTGCTTGTTTTAGATGAAGATTTAGCTTCACAATAACATTTTTTGCGATAAATGCGAGAAAGTTACATATACCTACATAGTATATGTCAAATAATTCGCCGGTAGAGAACGACACTAGCGAAGAATTTTCTCGGATCATCAACGATGGCGTAACATGTTGTCGAAACTCGCTAAGTAAGTGTATTGACTGGCATCGTGCATGTCGTGACGATGATCAGTATATAAACAACAAATTATTGATTTCCGCGTTCCAATAAAACGAGTTTTATAAAAAGAAAACTGAAAATTTCTATCCAATATTCCGGATAAACATTCCTCTATATCAGCCGGAAATTTATATACATATAATGTTCTTTTAAAAATATCGTTCAAATTAGAAATATATGTATAATGTTTAGAATCAGAAGTACGTGTATATATATTTCTAATTTATAAAAACAATATAAATTAATTCCGTACGGAGAAACGTTACATGCGGTTAAGAATTTGTTTACGTTTTATCAGAAGATGTTCCCAGAGATCCGACCCCATAATTAAGAGAGTGTTCTTTCTCTTTGTACTTTAGTCGCACGCGTATACTATCTGAGATGTTCACGACCTAGCAGTGCAAAGAATATATTGCTGTTATACTTTCTAAGACTATTATCGGTCTACACAATCTACGATGCTGTTCTTGGAAACATTCTTCATACATCGTTGATACGTTTCTCCTCGGATTACTAGCTGATTTACAATATAAACTGATTTACAATATAATACAATATAAATGCCGATATCACGAAACATTGAATGTTTTTCATTGGTCATAGGAAATATCGGTCTATCTATTACTTTCGGAAAATAAAATGCCATAAATATGTGTGTTATGACTCAATTACTACAAATAACAAATCTTTTTTGTCCTGAATAATTAAAAATTTCACCTATATGTTAACATGAAATCCAATCGAATATTAGAACTATACCGTACATTAGATATTAATATTATATATTATTATTTTAATATGTAAATGCGATATTTGATTAATTGATAGAAAAAGAACGATGGAAAAATCAGATAAAAGAGAAAAAAATTAAAGAAAATTCAATATACTCAATATACTGCTCTCGATTAAATAATTCAAGAGACAAATGCTTGATTAATTAAAACTCAGAGAAATGAAGTAAAAACTTGAACCGCGGAATACTTTTTAAACAAGCACGATTCGTACATTTTTCACAAACTTTTAATCAACATTCACAGTACGAACGTCGCAAAAAGAGATCTGTTAATTACTTGGAAACTGATATTTCATAATATTCATTCATTTACAAAAAATGGAAGCGTATATTTTCACAAGTGAAAATACAAAATCTACATCACTCTAATACCAACTACCAATTTATGACAAGCCATTAATGAAGCATGACAATTAAAATACGTTCGTCTCATTTCATATTGCTAAAAAGTTGTCTTGAGATCTCATTGATATTTTATCATATTCTTCTTTTTCAGTAAATATGAAATAATTATCAGTCTATAGAAGATCTACACGAAGAACGTTGTCTCGATTACATAAAAGTAACAGAAAGTTGATAGTTTCGAAAGTTCAGATAGCACTGCCTCAAGATACAGACGATGCCCTTTAACCTTTACGCTGCTGTGAATGTACGCGTTTACAGAGCTGGATATATGTGTATGTGTGTGTGCGTGTGTGTGTGTAGTCATGCGACCATTATACAATTTGCACACTATGTCCATTATACAAATATTAAATGAATAGACTGGATGCTCATGAAATCGCTCGCAAAATCGATGGGCGTGTCTCTATTTAATTCAATTTTTTCAAAAAAATCTCAAGTGTGTTAGAAAATAAGTATTATTTACCCACCTGGAGAGTCCGTCTTTCTGGATCACGGCAGAGAGCCCGAACAAAATGTGGATCCAAATAGTCCGTCATAATAGCCCAATAAGACTATACCACGGTCCTTTTCTTAACAGCTCTCGCGTAGTTCCGTGTCCTGCTTAAATACTCGTTCCTGAACATCGCCACCACCCCCGATCGAAGGAGCGATCTTCGATTTTCAATGATGTACACACGACACCGTGTCAACTATTTGTAAGACGAGCCGTTCTATCATCTTATCAGTCTTCATGAGATGCGTTGCATCCTTCTTTCATGAAGATAGTTTCAATCTTTCCGGATATTATCAACTGTATATGCATCACGCGCGATACGTAAACTTTAGAGTTACGGAGAACATACAATATCTCCGTAGAAAAATATCTTGGCAATTCTTCGGCATTTCGATAACTACAATGCGTCTTTCTCGATTTCGTCGGTCGTGTACAGGATTCTGCAACAGAAAACAGATAGAAAATGTAAGTAAGAAAAATAAGTCATACACAATTTGGCATGCCATTTTAAATATCATTTTACGCTAAACAATCAATTTTCTGTTCTTCTTTTATTCACTTTTCTTTATTTTTTTTTGCAAATCTCAAATATATCATACAGACTTTCTTAAGGAAATAACTCACGAGTTTTTTTCTTTTTCACACGGATTTGAATTTCTCGATGACGATAAAATGCACCGTTACGAATCACGAAACACGCAAGTAGAATTATAAACGTCGCGATCGGAAGTCGCTCGTTAAGATACACCTGCAGATGCAACACGTATCGATCAAACTGGAAACGTCAACATGTTGACCTTTAACTCCTTCACGGTTAGGAAGATCAGTGGAAATTACGTCTGCTTGCGCAGTACTTGGAGCATCGTTGACACATGAATTAATAATTAGCCTATTGTCAGTAAATTGTGGTAAGCACTAAGCACACACATACATGTAAACTGACACATTACATTAAAGATAGGATTAAAAATAACTAATAAATAATAATAAATTATATAGATCATTTCGATATTAGATCAAACCATGTGTTAATTTATGAATTTGAATATATAGAAGTATATGTTTTATATTACGTAAAATACTATTACAGTACAATACATGTTATAATAAAATAATACAAATTATTATTACATTTAATTGAAACAAAATTTTTCAAATAACTAAAATAATCTAAATAAAAGATTTAAACATAAATACATAGCGTTGATAAAAAAAAATGTATACGATAAAAAAATACAACAAATAAATAAAATTAATAAATCGATATTTGGATCACAACACAATAAATGAATAAAAAAGTGTACACATGTTATGAGCATTGCCTGTCGAAGAGGAAAGAGATTATATTCAATTGACCCCAAAAATAATTTTATGTAAAACACAAAGAATAAGAGAATTACGCGATGTTCAATTTCTGGATCGAGCCATCTTCCGACCTTGAATAAATAACGTCACGCGAGGCACGTACCTTAACTACCTTGAAAGCGGTAAGTCGAGGTCATGCAAGTATACTCTCGATGCTACGTTCAACACCCATGAACCCGACAACGCATTTTCGAGGTTCTTGATCCTTAAGGAACGGGACTGGGTCTCGCTTCGATTGGATCGTAGCACTTAAGAATTTATTTGATTATCGCGACAACGATATTTAATTTAAAATTTTTACGTAACCGGTATGTAACATCATTTGCAATTCTCACACACATAATAATCATATTAATGTGAAATTATGCCTTATAAATACGTGAAACAACCTTTAGTTTTCAAACGTGCAAACTAGCAACATTTTTTTAAATAATCGAGAACAAGTGGAAAATTTCGTTTCTTGATCGAAAGGAGACAAAAATAACTTGTCGGACACGGACAAGACAGATCGATCACGACCTCGAATGTATCCAATCGTTTATATCTGGTCACAGTCTGGTGTTTCATGTATTTCCTCTATCCGCCTACAATCTTAACTAAAAAAGCAACTTTATAACTCGTGCTGTCGAAATGATTCTACCGATACTCATGTATAATTCCTCTCTTCATCAATAGATTCTGCTATTCGAGAATATTCTCTTCGCATTAACCTATTATCCATCGGAACAGTTCAAGGTTCCGAGATATTTTATTTTATACCAAGATAAAAAAAGAGAAATGTATAAAGAGTTATTAAGGTTTACCCTGCATCCTGTTTGTTTTAGAGATGGCAAACAAGTGATTGAATATAATTTTCCGTTTTAACACAGGGCTGCGTTCAGGAATTACGCCCAGATAACTCTAAGCTATATGTTACGTTACGTATATCATAGCAAAAATGCACCCTAGAGTTATCTAGGCGTAATTCCTGAACGCAGCCCTGTATATAGTAGCTTTATCAGAGGCATTACATCTTTTAAAGAAAATCTCCGAATCGCATTCCTTATGCGTTCAACAGAATTTCCTTCCTCTAAACGAATTATCATTTGAATTACGCATATGCCCAAACTTGTTTACAGGTTTCCGTGTTGCATAAACTTTCACACGCAAATATTCAAGAGAGAGAGAAAGCAATATCTATTAAGAATAAAAGTCATACACGAACGAAGGAACATCTCGAAGGAGCTGGCATGACGGGATAGAGTACGAAGAAGATTGGAGCTTCGTCGGCCTTGCGGATCGTTTCTGTTTAGCTTCGTACTACTTGTTTTTTCCTCTTCATCGTCGTCGTCGTCGTATTCTTCATCTTCTTCTTTTTTTCCCGCCCGAAGCCCGACCGGGGCTCTTTCTTTCTCCCCTTCATGAAAGAAACTCGCTGAGTCCGCGTCTCGTTGACTCGTTCACGACTCGCCTATAGTGAATATATATATTCACCACGAAGTGAAACGCTGTTAAACAAAAGCGCGGGAGTGCAGGCGCGTATATCAATTTACTAATCGCACTCGATCATCGACCGTCGAGTCAACTCGTAACGATCCGTAATTGACGATAGGGGATGGGCGGATTGATGCCGGGTTCAACAACAGTGGATCCGTAATGAGTTATTGTCAATGCTCACGAACGTGGTTTCGCATATAGGTCGATTGTCGTTGAGTCGAAACGTTATGAACAACTGTTATCAACGACGTGTAAAAATCTACAAGCTGATAATAACATGGGCGTGGCGCGGATGGAAATCCAGATGCCGTGATGCAACATTGTGGAGCGATGTGTTCGATCTGTCGGTATGAACAGGTGATGATTCACTATTCATTACAAGTGGACGTAGGATGATTGAACCACAATGATATATCACAATCAAATAACATATAGAATTAGCGAAAAAATACGACTGCGTGTTAAATCAACTATACGGTGCAATTACGACGATGTGGAACGATAAAACTTGATTTTTTTAATAATATCTATACTATGATATGATTCCTCGATCTTTATCAGAATATTGAATTTACAGAAGATAATATCGATCGATGAAAAAAGGATAATCCAAGACTGTTATTAAAGATTGCGTCACGGCCTGTTTACAGCGTCATGCTTTCCTAGACAACGCGTTGGTCCAAGAGTCAAATCTGTCTTCGGCCGCGCATGTAAACGGCTCATCGATAAAAATATCCTCGGTATATGGGGCAGTTCGTAAAACCGCCTTCCTATGTAAAATGAGACCTAAAGAGTAAATACTCTCCGCCTTTAATTCTAATATCGGATGCTCAGCTTACACAATTACATTTGTATTTCGATCAGATTACATCGCCGTACGCGTCACAATGTATTATATTAACAATATTTAACCTTTATTTCACTCGACAGAATTGAACAGAATATAGGATTTTAAAATTATCATAAAATTAAATGTTACGTGAAAGTATAATTTGAATATATAGAAGTAGTAATTAATATAGAAATAAATAAATTCTCTTTTATAAAAATATTTTTTAAATTATACAATTATTCTTTATACCTACATATAATATTTCTCCTTTCTGTTTAAATCATTTATATTAAATTTTTTTAAAGATTTAATTAGAACTTATAACATATAAAAAAGTATTCAATTTCCAATATTAAATGTATTAAGTATTAGTTTTATTTCTCATTATCATTATTGTATGAAAAATTATTACTTGAGGATAAATGTATATAAACACAATTTTATTTTCAGACAGCTCTATAAACAACATATATGTATGTTCTTATAAAACCACTGAGAAGGATACGAAAATATAACAGTTAATACCACGCATTATTAGTTGAAGTTCGAATTCGCAAATCAAGTGAATAATTATCGGGCTAATAATTTCTCCGTCGATAAGTCGTTCTTATTTCCTCAACGCACATTTAGCGTAATAAGAATAATATTGTCTTATTTGCCTAGTGTAAGATTTGTATTGTCGCCAAGTGAGAATCGTAACAGCAGTATCGCGTGTTAAGCGCATGGTGAAAATATCGTGGCTGCAACACCAAGACTGCTTGAAAAGTTACCCGCCACGGTAAGATATTTGAGGTAATCCGAACCGCTGATCGTTGATACAACCGTGCGGATTCACCGTATGTAAGCGTAAACGTGCCGTGACCGTCGTGAAACAAAATGCGCGAGTGCTTGCAGGTGGATGCGTTGCAGAAATGGAACGGGAACTGGAATCGAGAATGAAGCACGCGCTTACTCTGTTGCTTGAAAAGTACATATACAGAGTGTATCTAAAATAACGTACACTAATCATACAATGCTATTCCTAATAAAAAACTGAGTCGAAAAGTCCTTTACCATTTTGCAATTTTCGTAATAGTTAACAAGATATTAATTACAAAAAATCGCTGAATATTGATTTTCAATAATTTTTTACTGAAATACTATCAACTTTATAGAAAAACTGCTAGAGATAAAAACTCTATTTTTTCAGAATTTTTTATCGACTTTTTAGTATTGCATTTTCTTATTTTTACCAACATGAGAAAATACGGTATTAAAAAATTCTGAAAAAATAGAGTTTTTATCTCTAGCAGTTTTTCTATAAAGTTGATAGTATTTCAGTAAAAAATTATTGAAAATCAATATTCAGCGATTTTTTGTAATTAATATCTTGTTAACTATTACGAAAATTGCAAAATGGTAAAGGACTTTTCGACTCAGTTTTTTATTAGGAATAGCACTGTATGATTAGTGTACGTTATTTCAGATGCACCCTGTATACGACGCGCGCCAAGTGAATAAATCGAGAAATTATTCGAAAGAGAGTTGCAAGCATTTTTTTAAGCTGTCTACGGAGAAAAAAATTCACAAATATCAATATCTATGAGAATTAGATCAAGCGCGAAACTTCATCGCGCGCGCGTATCGGTCTTGCAGATCGGTGACAGCTGCGAGAGATCTATTTTCCAATCGAATTTCAAAACACGTGCGATTAGACTGGGATAAACAGCGTTTGTCGCCCGTTTGTCACTCGCGTTCGGGTATTCGGCGAACGAGCCAGATTGGATC